TAATAACATTCCTCACTGATCCAAAGCATTTTGTACATCTTGAACAGTGCTTTCTGTGCTTTGTCTTGTAGCCTAGACATAGCATTATGAAACTTACCATTTGTTTGAAAAACAATGCCAATTATAATAATTAACATACTGTAATTTAGTGGCGTCCAAATAAAACTGAAATTTGTTTTCTAAGTTTTTACCTAGTCTATTAAAAATAATGATTTTGCTTTTGTTAATATTTACTTTTAAATGCCAATTGTCACAGTAATTTTGGACTGCATCAATGCACTTTTGTAACCCCTCTTGGGTTGTAGAAAACAATAGCAAGTCATCAGCATATAACAAACAATTGAGCTTCAAGCCATTTAAATCAACAGGGTCAAAATTTTTAACATCATCACAGATTCCATTAACAAAAATATTAAATAGTTGAGGACTAAGGTTACACCCTTGTTTTACCCCTCTGCATGAATTGAAATATGGAGTAATCCCTGCACTCAATTTAATGCTATATTTAGTGTTTTTATAGATAGCTTTAATAGCCTTATATCGTTCTTTCATTCATCGTATGTTTATACTTAGGATTATGCATCCTTTCCGTGAGGGGGAATTATGTTGTGTCTGAGCATTAATAGATAGATAGATAGATAGATAGATAGTTAAATGTTGGTACAGGAACATGTGTTCAGATCGCAGGTCGATATTTGGTCATGTGTTCAGGTCGCATGTAGGTACAGGAACATATGTTTAGGTCGCAGGTCAATATTGGGTCATTTGTTCAGGTCGCATGTTGGTACAGGGACATGTTTAGGTCACAGGTCAATATTGGATCATTTGTTCAGGTCGCATGTTGGTACAGGGACATATGTTTAGGTCGCAGGTCGATATTGGGTCATGTGTTCAGGTCGCATATTGGTACAGGGACATACGTTTAGTTCGCAGGTCGATATTGGGTCATAAAAAAAGGAAAACGATTATATCTTCTTATGTGTATAAGCGTGTTTGTGTTTAAGTAACACTTCATGGTACCTTGATGGCTCAAGTGAAGTGTTGCCCTGGGCAGGTCGCACATAGGGCACGTGATCTAAGTTTTGACTCCCAGGTTGTGACCCCCCCCTTCCCATGATGCACCGTGCGTGCTTTATACCACGCAAATAACAAATTGGGTCATTTATGCGCACGCATACATCTGCAACAAGCGACCAGTTCGTTCTTTGGTTGTGTAGCCAGATCGTCTGATCACTCGGCACAGTTAATGTGGTGAACCGATTGCTACACATCGGCAAATACTAAGCCACCACTACCATGCATGCGGATGAAATAACTGCACCTGATACACGAGAGGAAATCACGTCCTTTCCTAATTACCCTGGGTATATTCGAGCGTGGACTGTGTTTAAACGTCGTGGTTTCAGTGCAAGTTGTGGTGCAGTATGGAGGCAAGATATCGAGACAACATTGAACAAATTCTTGAAAACTGAGCCACCTCAAGACATACGGGTTCTTTCAATCGGACCCGGAAATGGTGAGACCCGCATTTAGATTCACGTGGGCGTGTTATTGATGTTCACATCGGGTTACGTAGGTTGTACAGGGGCCTGATAAACTATTCATGTCAATACATAGACGTATATGGGGCGAACGACTATGTCGCAGTACAGGAACTTACCATTGCTCAAAACAATAGAAATTATAGAATTAAACAGTTTGGTAATGTAAAGCACATGTTAGTTGGTCGTGGAAAACTATAGCTAGCTATTGCTAATCTACCATTGGGCTACTTTGCAATGGTGGACTAGTTAGTTATTATGCTAGCTTGCGAGTTAGACCACAGGCGCTCGGAACGTTTCTTGGATAATAAAAAATGACCTAAAGTAGGATCGGCATAGTTAGACAGTCGCCGGCACAATTGTCCGAAAATAACACGATTTTCCAGATTATATTTCGATCCACTTCACACAACTCAAGCATGATATCGGTAGAAACTATCGATCGACTTATATTTCCTTTATTTGAACTAAAACAGGTTAAATCCTGTGAAAATCAAAACACCAGAGCAAAAATGACAAATCCAATTTTGAGACCATGACTGTAATTGTGAAGACTATTTTTAAGTTATTTTTGAACAATTTAATTGAAATTTATCTTGAAGCAAAAACTAAATTGCAAAGCTTTATGGGTAAATATCTATTTGTCAGAAGACAGCTATAAGAAAGCCGATTGGATTTTTTAAATGGAAAAGTATAACAATTTCATAGTATGCTATTTTACAATTTTACAGGTGCCTATTTTAAATGGAAATTGCAACCATAATTTATTAATCTCAAACAATATTGCATAATTTATTAATCTCAAACAATATTGCATAATTTATTAATCTCAAACAATATTATATAATTTGTTAATCTCAAACAATATTATATAATTTATTGGTGGTATAGTTGAGGTCAAAATATATTTCACTAATTTGGTGTTACTTTGACATATTGATATTACATTGTTATTGTTTTATCTCTATTATCTCTAAGTTGTTTATAAGCAAATTATTCAACAACTATTTGAAATGTTCTATCAGATATAGTAAATATTATATATATTCAGACAATCTTATTAATTTCTTAAGAAATTTGCCAACTTGTTATATTCCTATATGATTTGTTTTAGGTTAAAGGGTGGTGGTCCTCGTGCTGCACATGTGGGACATTTGTGTTGATAAACATTGATTTTCCCACAATCCAATGCACTCTTCTGGGCGCGAATTGCACTAATTACCGACAGAGACTCATTCAATACCAATATTGTGCGACGACTATCGCACAAAAAAAGACTTATAACTAATCCTAACTTATAATTGTATGAAATCTTTTAAATGAGAGGCTGCACGTTTACACACAGCTTATTGTTTATTTGTTTTCCAGGGACAATGGATGAACCACTGATTGACACCCTATCCAATATGACAACTAGTAAAGTTGTGTACTGTGCCATAGATCCTGATAGTGCGTACCTGCAAGAGTTCAGAGAATTGGCCGCTTCAAGATCAGACGATTGGAAAAACATAGAGATTGAATTCAGGGTAGAATCGATGGAGGAATACTCTGACGTCTGGGACAAATGTGAGAAGAAAGACAAGTTCAATCTCATTTTTGCTTCCTATGTTATCTATCATTTTAGAGATGCGAAAGCTACATTGGTGAAGATGAATGAAATGTTGGAAAATAATGGGATTATGTATTTTAAGATTGTCTCTGGTAATTAATCTATTTTTTTCTAATGAACTCATTACAGTATGTCAGTTTTCGGACAGTTATAAATAATGTAATAATGTTGCTATATAATTGCAGGATTGTAGATTTTTTTTTATATAACTTATTCTCATTCTCAATTCTTTGATTTGGTAATAATAGTGGTATATCATTACATGTATAGGAATGTAATTTAATAAATGTTCTGTTGAAGATTTAGTTTAGACATACAGCCCAGTTTTCAGACAATGAGTTTGTGCGCGATGAAGTTACCACACTTGTTGTTTTATAATTAAATCTCTCAATTTAAATATAATCTTGCGATTTCCCTTGTCACTTAACTTTTTTCTCTTTACTCATGTACAGGTGGTTGGAGTAAGTTGATGGCATATTGGAACAAATTTTACTATGACAGCTCATGTAAAATTAATCGACATAGTCCAGAATTGGTGAAAAGTATGATCCTTGATGTCATGCCAAATGCCAAACTACAAGTGTTGGATCGTAATGCCGATGTTGACATTACAGAGTGTTTCGAGGAGGGCTCAGAAAATGGCAAGCTGATGCTGGACTTCTTGATGCAAATGAAAGATTTCAAAAGTGTGGCTTCACCAGAGAGAAGGGATCAACTCATCCAGTTTCTTAAAGACGAGTGTTGTGAAGCCAAAGGGGATAGGATTATGTTATCATGTACAGATCAGCATGTATATTTCATTAAATGAACAATATCTGTATCAATATCGGTAATTCAGATAAAAATGCAAGTCAATTTGTAGAATATCATGTTACTCATACAATATGAGAGATCATATTTGTAAATACCAGGGGTAAGCTACAACTGTTGAATCAATTTTGATAATTAGAATAAAATATAACTATCCATACATTTTGAAATGAATCTCTGCTTCAGTTTTGTTCCTGAAATAGTCAAAGGTGCTTAGAGATCAGTGATTTAACAAAAAAATATTTTTAGGTTTGTTCATTTGAAAAAAATCATCATGGCAGACTACCAGTATCTCTGTATTCAACATTATTACTTACATTCCTACGCACACAATCTACTAAAATAAAATTAGTAAAAAGTAACAATGAAATGATAATTTCATTTATTTTATAATAATAATTTACCTAGAAAATATTTCATACATTACACAAAATTGTACATGCAGTCTAGGTAAAATGGAATCTGAAATAGCTTAAAAGGTAGTCAAGTCAGATCCCTGACATAACTTGAATTTAATGACTTAAGTTAAGACTGACATTAGGTTACACCTCAATATAATTCAAATACACAAATATGATAATATAATAATATATATATGTATATACATACATTTATAATAAATATTAATTATATTCTAATTACTCTGACATTAACTTTTCTCGTATTGTATTTTTGAATATAAGTTTTTGTTTAGACCTTAAAGAAATTGATATGCTGTTCCAAAGTTTGGCCCCTGAATAAGATATTGCAAATGTCCCTGTTACTGTGTTCATGCATTCTAGGTACAAGTAAATCATTTCGACATCTTTGTCGTGTTCTATATTTATGATGTAAATACTGCAAATTGTATGTTGACATTGATTGTGGAAGATTCTCATGAATTATATCATACATAAAACTTAAAAGTAATGACTTATGAAGTTTGAAAATATCAAGAATTTGGAGAGTATTAAAAATTGGTGGAGCATGCGCAGTAAAGTCGGAAAACGTTATAATTCTGGCTATCATTATTTGTGTGGTATGTATAACTTTAAGATTTGACGGGTATGTACTACCCCAAACTTCTAAACCATAGGTGATATGAGGCTGAATCAACGTTTTGTATAACAAAAGGAGAATATGCCGTGGGACATAATGTTTTAATTTTAAAAGGATACCCGTCTTTTTCCTAATAGTTTTATTGATCTTTGAAATGTGGTTATTCCAGGTTAGATATTTATCAATTTCCATCCCTACGAAAGTTGCTGATTCAGTTTCATAAACTACGTTGTTTTTTTATGGACAGGGCATCTCTTACTGTCACACATACGCCTACCACTGATGATCATATAATTTGTTTTTGAACAATTGATGGTCAATTTATTTGCATCACACCAGTGTACAACACTGTTTAAATCTTGGTTAATAATACACAAATGGCCCTGGTGAAAAAGAATGAAACAAATTGGAGTCATCAGCAAAGAGTCTAAAGTTAAAAAAATTGTAGAGTTTGGGAAATCATTAATGTATAAAAGAAATAAGGTAGGGCCAAGTACTGAACCTTGTGGTACACCACATGATATAAGAAGTTGCCCAGATGAAACACCATTTGAAAATATGAATTGTGATCTATCTTCTAGATAACTTTTAAACCACTTATTTGGAAGCCTGCTTATACCATAATGACCCATTTTTTTCAGCAAAATTGTATGATTAATAGTATCAAAAGTTTTTGTAAAATCGATAAATATTCCAATAGTTGGCTTGCCCTCGTCAAATTGAAGGAGTAGTGTGTTTATTAAATTGATTAGGGAAAGCTTAGTGCTGAATTTATTACAAAACCCGTATTGATGCTTGTAAAAAAAATTCTCTTTCTCCAAATAATGCAGTAGTTGTTTGTTAACTATTTTTTCTAGAACCTTGCTAATAAGGGGTAACACTGAGATTGGCCTATAGTTTCCAGGGATATTGTTTGGGCCTTTTTTGTAGATGGGCGTTACCTTTGCCTTTTTTAATGCATTTGGAAAATGTCCCTGTAAAAATGATAAATTAAAAATAAAACAAGTCATTGTCAATGACACGTCCCCGTTCCGTTCATATTTGAGTGACATATACATTCAAAGCAGATCATGACCGAAATGCACCTGCATATGTACAACACATTGTACTAAATCTGAACAAAATCCATCCATGCATGACTGAGATCTGGTTCCGAAATTGTGAAAATACGTGATTTTGATGCATTTTCGGCCTTAAAATAGCCATCATTCAGCTATTGTTAAGCGGATCATGAAACAAATGCAAATATCTATTTGTGACATGATGTACCATGTGTGTGTGAAGTTTGAACTTGATCAATCCAGACATGTCTCGGATACGGATCCAGAACTGAATTCTTTAAAACAAAATGGCCGCCAGTCGGCCATTTCGAACTTGATCCGGGAAAAAAAAATGACGTGCATCAAGGTCCTGTTATGTTTAATGTATGTACCAAATTTGAACGAAATCCGTCCATGCATAGCTGAGATCTGGGTCCGGAATGGTGAAAATGTGCGATTTCAATGCATTTTCGACCTTAAAGCGGCTGCCATTTGGCTATCGTTAATGAGATCATGAAACAAATGCACATACATATTTGTGACATGATGTACCTTGTGTGTGTGTGAAGTTTGAACTCGATCAATCCAAGCATGTCTCAGATACGGATCCAGAACTGAATTTTTTAAAACAAAATGGCCGCCAGTCGGCCATTTCAAACCCGATCCAAAAAAGAAAAAATGACGTGCATCAAGGTCCTATTAAGTTTAATGTATGTACCAAATTTGAACAAAATCCGTCCATGCATAACTGAGATCTGGGTCTGGAATGGTGAAAATGTGCGATTTTGATGCATTTTCGGCCTTAAAATGGCCGCTATTCGGCTATCGTTAATCGAATCATGAAAACAATGCATGTGCATATGTCCCATATAATGTGTGATGTATGAGTGAAGTTTGAACTTAATCGGTTAATGCATGTTCGAGATACAGGTGATCACGCACACACGGACGCACACAGGGCAAAACATAAGTCCCCGTTTTCGGACTACGTCCGAACGGGGACTAACAAAGTGGTTAACAAATGATATCAGCTCTTTCTACAAGAAGTCATGCCAGTAAACAGTCATAGCCTGACGATTTTTTCTGATCAAGATGGCTTAATGTCAAAGCTACCTCCTGTTTTGTGGTTGGTGCAACATTAGGGTAATTAAAATAGTGATCAAAATTGTTTGGGGGATTGGTAATATTTGAGGCAAGGTTGGGTCTAATATTAACAAAGTAGTTATTGAAGGTTTCTGCAATGTCAGTGGGATTGTCTTCTGTAGCCGATGAATATTCAAAACATTTGGAAAATATTTCTTTCAGTTGTTTTATATTTGTTGTTTTGTGCATAGGGGTACCTTTGTTGAAGAAATATATTGAAATTCAAAGGTCATAAAAAAAGGTTAGGTAATTATATCAATTACCATAGATAAACAAATTTCTTTACAATTTCTTCATATATTCAATATTTCTGGAAATGAACCCTAATTTTGGAGCCAACAGACAAAATTTCAGTAAATTTTCAGTTTTTACTCAAAATATTTGTCCGTTTTTGCCCCAACTTCTGAAGGAAAGTGTAGACTATAAAAGGGACTATTTTGTGAATGATGATGAAAGGAGGGAACTGGTGGTGAAAAAGTTAATTCTAAATTTTTAGTGACAATTTCTGAAAAAATGTTTGAAAAACAAGTTGTATTGTAAATGAATGTGCACATTCTTCAAAAAACTAACAATGCAAATCATTGCCCCTAGTAATCATTAAAATATTGTAAAATACTTTATTTTAACTGGAATTAATTTTCGCTGAATACTTTTGAGTGTTTTGTATGGAATTTATTTTCACTGATTTTTGCCGAGTTGAATGTAATATATAGGAACAACGGTATATTTGCTGGATTTTATTTTCACTGAATCATGTTTTCAGTGAAAAAAAAGTATTCTACAGTACATTTGTCACATGTCTTGTAAATTAAGCCCACTTAGCATACCTAGTATACAACAAACAGTCAATTGAAGTACAAACTATGAATAGTTCAATGTTCAATTTATTTGTTTAAAAAAATTACATGTATTTTTTTTTATATATTAGTGTACAATAATATTAAACAGACTTCTAGACCATAACTGCAAAAATCTTTTTGAGTTTTTAATCAAAATTTACATCATAATTACTACACAAGTTTTATAGAATACTTATATTCAAAATATATTCAAAAATATATTCAAAAATTACCTTTCACAAGAATTTGGGTGAGAACAAAATAATTGTTATTGCAAAATAAAAATTATAACAGAAATTTAGAGGAAAAAATGAAAATGATTATTGTATGTCACTCTCCTTTCATATACTTGTCTTAATAAACATAATTACGTGTTGGCATAAGCATTGACGCTATCCAGGTTAATACATCAAGGAAAGGCATGGCTAGCCAGTAAAAATTTTGGAAATTTTAAACGAACCAACAATTTTACTGCATCAAATATTCCACTAAATAAAGGGTAAATAAACTCAATGTACCCAACCTGGTTTGAATGAAAACTTTAGTTTAGTTGTTTCTTCAGAATTTAAAACAGCCGATCACAATAATAATTTAGCAAAGAATTCTTCCCATAAAAGTGTGCTATTCATGACCATCCTTAAAGGAAGATTAAAGAGTTTTTATAGTTTAATAAAATATAAAACAATTTACAAGACTCTGATTTCCGTGTGTGTTGAGAATGGGAAGCAGAAAAAAAGTTAATTTGGTTTAAATAAAAAACATTTTCTTTACTCTATTTGAAGGAACAAAATTTGTTAATATGTTGCAAATGAAAAAATTTGAATCGGTGCATTTACATGAACAATATTTTATGGCAGCCATTGTGAAATTTTAAAAAAATGGCATCAGTTAGCTCTTTATCCAACATTTTAGATTTTATAAGTGTTAATGCAATGCTACATACACAACATACATTGTTCATTATTTAATATAGGTGAAGGATATATCATATGAATATCAGCTGATTGAGTTTTAATTTTGAAAGAATGTAGGTACAACTTCTTTTCTCATTAGGTGAAAATTTTGCGCTCTTTATAAATGAGGCTTAATTTCAATATTTACAGACTGTACAGAATTCAATTTAGTGAAAGCTTTCACAAATTAGCACATCAACACTTATTTTGTTAGTCCTAGCAAAATTGAGAATTGTCGCATCTGAAAATATCTCGGCCATGGATTAAAACTGAGCAAATTTGAAATTTTGCAAATAAAGCAAAAATAATAAAAGGAAGGTACAAACCCAATTGTAAAGATACAACGGTTTCAATATATTGTCCAATACTAATACATGGACAATAAAATATGTTCTCACATAAAAAAAACCTGTGCATCCACTTTAAAGCCACCCTTCATCCTGAAACTTTATTAATTAAATAACACTTGCAGCTATATTTCTATATTTTTATAATTACATGTATTCAGCCAATTGAAAATCCTTTAAATTGCTTAACCTAATATTATAGTTCAGTTTTCTGATTAAAATCAACATCAATCATGTCATTCAATCCATTGTATTTATTATAAGCTAACAGCGCTGTATTCCTGCTTCCTACTATAAGCATCTCAATTGCACTAGCTGCCCACTCTATACCATTAATGTAGTACAACTGATCATGTAATTCAAACTTGGGCAAAGAGTTTTGTGGGTCATAGTGAGGATATGCCAACCAATCAACTACTTTCATCTCCTTTCTTGAAGCAAAAAGAGCATAAAGCTGCTTTTCAGACAGTGGTTCTTTGGAGAAGACCTTCCAGACTGGCTTCTGGGACTCCTTGTTTCCAACCTTACAGTCAATAGGCAGATTGTGTGCAATGCTGTTAATTTTGAATTGATTATCTTTTGTAGTGAGGATTTGATTCGGGCAACCACTCATGTTTTTAAACCCAAATGATGCAGTGTTAAGCTCACCATCAACAAATGTGGCAACAGTACGATGAAATCGTCCTGGAAAGTTTGTTATCTTTTTTGGAAAGCCCTCAAAAGATATATTAGATTTGCCTTCATGTAACGGGGTAGCAATGACAATGATATCATATCTTTCACTAGTGTGGAATGTGGAATTACTATTCTCATTAGCAGCAATAGTCAGGTAGTAGCCAGGAGTAGCGCTTTCAGTGTCTAGCTTCACACCTTTGATGGTCGATTTAATTATATTCGCACGAGACTTCTGCAAAAGCTGGGAACAGACCTGGTTGTTTCCCCCATGCACAGAAAACAATCCACCTTGAATTCCAGCTACAGATACAAAACCTGTAATGAGAATAAAAGTGAAAAAATATCAGTATGGCGAATTTCATATTGGGTTAACCAGTGCTTTTGACTACCTTTATCATGGGTGGCACACTGTGACGTCATTTGTTTACATATTTATATCCACCATGTTCATGTTTTTGACAACAAATGTGTTGCATGGTTCCATTATTTTACCTCCAGATGCAAAAACCTGACTCTTGACAATCAGTTAGTACATATAAGTGAAGAATGTAAAGTGCTTCCAGCCATATCACGGTTGTTGCAGATCATTTACTCAAAACAAATTTTCAGATATACCGGTACTATATTTACTTATATTTTATTAAAAGCACATTTGCAACAGATGCACACAGAGTAAGTGTAATTCTTATATGATGGATCATCACAATACGGCTCATTTTTATCATATGCACATTACTGTTCTGTACATAATGAATGGGCCACTGATAAAGCAAGTGAGAGGTGTATCTAACACAACACGTACCAATACCAAGCAAGGATACCTCTTTAATTAGTAAGACAATAGAATGTAATTGATACACAATAGATCTTTATATGTACATTGTATGTATAACCACTGAAGTCATAATCTCTGTACCTTTTTTTTGGGGGGGGGGGCAAATTCATTATCAATGACAATTTCTCAATTATCTCCCTAAATTGCAAGCAGGTATTGAGGTTTAATGCATGTATGACAAAAATGGAGATACAATTTTGCAAAGTTGTGTTGTACAGAACAGAATAGTCAGTTTCTCAAATATTTGAGGTGAGAAATAGAAAGGGAGTACATATTCTATAATCAGTTCCTTTCTCTTTTATATGAGTGAGAAATATTAATTTTTGCTTCAGCCAAATATCTGTTACTTACATAATTTAAGTTGTACTTATGTTAAGTTTGTTTTTGTAACCAACATTCTGCAGAGAATAAAACAACTCACCGGCAAAAGCTGACATGTTGACAGACTGACCATAGTTGACTCGCGTAGCTATTGCCATCATTTCATCTATGATTACATCCTTGTAGCCACGATCTTTGAGAGCCTTTAAAAATGGTACCTTGGTGTAATCCACAACCTCATTGCCACCAATGGTATTCATGATGCCTTCAACAGAACTGTATGCCACACCTTTCTTTTGTGAATCATATATTCTAATAAAAATCAAATTTAGATAATCGCAATCAGTCATCGGGTAATCTGAAATGGTTTCACATACACTGAGGACTCCTACAAAAACCATCATCCTATGTTTGACTTAGGGAAATTTTGTGTGACTGAAATCGCTAAACTAGTCTTCACTATGTTTGCTAATTCTCCTCCCGTTCACAAACAATTTTGAATTTGCATGAACTTTGTGGTGCAAATGGCAACCAATCACAAACTTTCTAATAGATGTATGTGTTACAACAACTGAATAAAATACATTGTTGAAATACGACAGGTAGGTCAACATTACTTTTTCATGCAGAATACTCGTACATGTTTTCATTAAATGAGAATTTCATTTTTCAACTGGCAAGACAAATATATCAAAATAAATATTCAGATAATGTTTAGCTCTGCAGCAAAGATACGGTACTGGTATGTACATTACAGAAAAATTACCATTCAAATTCAAACCACAATCTCGCCCAATGTCTCACATAATATTGTTTACTTTTGTCTCATTTCAAATTGAAATTGGAGAAAAACACAGGGCTTCCATAGCAAACATACTGGACAGTAGTGTATGTATACAGTAACAGATGTTCTGGGGTAGACAAGAATCAATGTGGTAAGAATATACCAGAATGTTTTTGACTTGACTATGATGTTGTCACTCAATATACATCAACATAAAACAAGAAAGCCATCAGCGATGGCAGATCCCATGGCAACCTTGCATGACTCTGTAGAGTGATTGCGTTGGGTATATAAACATTAAACAAGTCATTGAAAATGACACAGTCCCTGTTAAGTTCTCTTTGTGCTTGACATATTAAAGCGGAGGGGTTGTCGCAAGCGTGTCCTTGAAACTTGAGTTCCAAGTGGCGTATACAACAGATTGTTTATTTACATGAAAACACATGTTCCGTGTAGTAGTAATATGGCCAAAATAAAAACAGCCATTATTCAGCCATCTTTGATCTGATTATGAAACACAGAGATATGTATGATGTATGTGCCAAATACGAATGAAAATGGTACATAAATTATGGAAATATAGTAGTAAGGCCAAAAAGTCAGATGGCTGTCAAACGGCCATCCTTGACCAGATTTTGAAACAAATTGTCATGAACATGCATCTAACATGTATAAAGTACATGTATGTGCCAAATTTGAATGAAAACTGACAGAGCACATCCAAGATACCGCATAAAAAAACAAAAACAAGATGCCTGCCAGTCGACCATCTTTGATCCAATTGCAAAATATATCGTCATGGACATGTATCCTAACATGTATAATCTATGTACCAAGTTTGAATGACAACTGACAAATCATGTCCAAAATACAACATTTTCAAAAAACAAGATGGCTGCCAGTCGGCCATTTTGAATCGAATCGCTAAATCACTGCATGTGCATATGTCCCACATAAGGTACTAGACACATGCAAAGAATGAACGGAATCGGTCCACAGGATTCTGAAATATGACGTTGGATAGACTGACGCACGGACACATGGACGGTCGGACGGACTTCCTCAGGAACTCACGGACGGTCGGGGACATGTATCCTAACATGTATAATCTATGTACCAAGTTTGAATGACAACTGACAAAGCATGTCCAAAATACAACATTTTCAAAAAACAAGATGGCTGCCAATCGGCCATTTTGAATCGAATCGCTAAACGACTGCATGTGCATATGTCCCACATAAAGTACTAGGCACATGCAAAGAATGAACGGAATCGGTCCAAGGGATTCTGAGATATGACTCCGGACGGACGCACAGACACACGAACACACAGGCGCACGGACGGACGGAGACCGAATTATAAGTCCCCGTTTTCGGACTTCGTCCGAACGGGGACTAATAACACACAGGTATTTACTTAGTGCTGATTATTAATACACTATTATTCTTTGGGACTAAAATATGCAAGTGACACATGCTGTGTTGTTAATTAACCCATAAACTAATATTATAAATGTGTATTGTATCTAAAGCTATTGAGATCTGTGAGCTGTATCTCACAGTGTGTTATGACTATGGACACTTGTAGCCACTATATCACAGCAGACAATACTGAATAAGGTAGAACATGTCCATATTATTATTATGGTTATTAAATATGCTGATCAGATCATGTGACCAATGTTTTCAATAACTGAATGTCTCTGTCTACAATAGTGCACCAGATACAAATTTATGCACTGTCCTGATATCACCTTGCATTTATTATGAACCAGCAATAATATTCAATAAAGAGATTACAGAACATGTTCACAACTTCCTACCACAATTACACAGAGTAAGAGGTTTGCTATTCTGAATATTCCATCTATTGCTTTAGTCACTCAGATAGTACAGTGATTTGAAATGTCTGCTTGTTCTCACAAGATAGTCCTAGAAGTCCTATCGATTAACACTTGTCTCTCGCTGACTCTTGATTTATCCTATATACATGTAGTTTTTTTTTTTCAGTCCAGGCTGATTTTTAGCTACTGACTGACTGTGACTACTGTTTTACACTCGTACACTATAGTGCATTACCCAGCACTTGATGTATTGGTTTCCAAAGACTGCCTCACCTGCTGAATTTTTCAACAAAAACTCCAATTTCCCTGCGGAATTTGATAAGATCCCAGCCATAATGCCACAGCATTTTTGCATACGTTGCAATAACCCAGTCACTTTCCAAAAACACAAACTTCTCACCATCATAAAATCCCATCTTTTGACCAGGTATTTTGTCCTTGTGTTTCAAACCTTAAATGAAAATAGGAGGTAAGTAAAGTCAAGGTTGTTCACCATGTACATTAATAAATAGTTTTGCAAACTATGATACCTAATTTCCTTTTTTTTTATTTCCTAAAATGAAAACTTGGAGACCTCAAACAATGCATAGGCTTGGTATACTTGGAACAATATCCTGAAATGAACTAATTATAAACAATATTATTAAACCAGGGTTGCAGTTTGACTGATACCTAGACAAATGTAACAAACATTGTTTTCATCTCACCAAACTCCTTTGTAAACTTCTTCATGTACATATTTCCTGGATGGATAATTGAAGCACCAGATTCATAAGTATGTCCACCAATGTCCACTGTAGCAATTCTTCCACCAATGTCACTGGGTTCGTATACATCTATCGATGCCTTGGCTCCAAATAATTCATGTAAAAAGTAGGAACAAGAAGAACCACCAATACCACCACCAATTATACCTGAACAGAGAAAATTTGTTGAGTGATTCAACATGGTTTTTGCCTTGAACTGGATGTCATTCTCGGAGCTTACTTTCAGGACCCTCCTGTAGTATGCTGTGAGCATAAGTCCAAAATTCCTAAAATCCATGAATGGCAATTGTGAAGAAAATATAAGTGGGGCATTCACTGGACCACAATGTTAACTGTGGCCTACTAACTACAATTTTCAGAGTCCAGTCATTATTAAAATTCCCATAATATTTGTTTTCTTATTGACATGTACATTAGTCTGCACATGAAAGAAAGAAAGTTTTGTGAAATATAATAAAAAGCACAAGTCAGTGATTTTCACTTGTCTATAAAGGTCTAAAAACAGACCACTAAATTATGTATCCGGTATATTGCATTTACAAACAAATAATGGATGGGGTACTTTTCAGTATTCAAATATCTGGAGCTATTTGAAATGTTGTACTTGTATTATATACAAACATAATCTGATCAGCTGACTTGTCAGTGCCAATTTCAACAACATTGAAGACAAATATACAATTATGCGAGAACGAACAGTGTTAGAAAAGTGTCAAGAAAGTACGAATACCTATGCGAATAGATGGTTCAGGCTGCACCGATTTTGCATGTGCATTGTACATAAAACGTGAAATTACGAGGCACAGGGGCGCGACGAACACAACTTTACCCATGGTTGACGCCATTTTATTGAAAACAATATTGTTACATTTGTAGTCCCTTGCTTGTCAGCTTATCGACGCGCTCAAAATTATCAGCTGTAATTTTAAAAATAGGTATTTATACTACATATTATAGATTAGATAGACATTAATAATTGCTATGTTTATTATTTTACTTTTCACAAAATTGCGAAGTATCAGTGGATTTATATGGAAGCTAAAACGTTCTACTAACATTGTGCTGCTCTCAGCCACAAGCTGGTAGTTTATAATCATCAACCAGTTTACTAATACGAGTGAACAGATGACGCTTGTACACTGTAAACGCTGTTAGTCTGCAACCACGGATGTAAAGGGAAGTGGAATTTGATTGTATCTATGATCAACGATGCTGTTATCTGGCAAGACATGTGGATTAAAAATAGAATCAAGAATCTGCCGAACTCATTGCCGACTACGAGGTACGTACATAAAAAAAAAAATTCCGTTCATAAATACATAAATATCAAATGTTTCTGTGATCACCTTAATCACGTCCACGCAAACTAGCTCTGTTACAATTTGTTTGTAATATAAGTACTGTTCTGCTACAACGAGATGTTTGTACACGTATATAATTTGCCTTTACCAGCATTTAAACTAGTACTGGTACATGTACATAGTATAAGCTTGTTTAGCTTGTTTTAGCTCCATCACTCTATCAATCTGATTAATATGCAATGTAGGTACAGGCTCCGTATTTTTATTGCTATTTTTGTTTATTTATGAATATTTTTGGCTTGACTTCCCGTTATTAATTTTTTTATATATCGTATTTCGGTCGCCTTAACAAGATTAGAAGAAGAAAAAAAAAAAAAAACGTGTTATGCAATTAATAGTGTGATTCATGTTCCTCATTAAGAATTGTCTTGTTAGAGATTCTATTCTGTTGCAAATTGTCTTTATTTTTTATTCATATTTTTTAATTTTTGTTTTTTTGTTTCACATATTTAATTAAAATAATAACTTTATCACACTACTAAAAACATTCAGAACGTTTTTATATGGTAAAGAACATAAATACAACCAAATACAAATACAAAAAATTCATGAGATAAAATTAAAAGGGAAAATAAAAATAAATGTCAGTAAAATAAAAGAAAAGATAAATTAATTACTTTCTGTGGTTTCTGCTCTTCCAATATTTTGCTAACCCTATGTTATTCTCCATAATCTTTTGAAATATGGATTTCACATCAATTGTGTAAATATATTTCAAAAATAAGATTTTTTTTTAGTTTATAGTTTTTCAATTTTTTTTTGTAAGCCCTAATACCTTTTTTATCCTTTCCTAAGGATTTTATGCATCTAATGAATATTATTATTATGATCACTTTACTTACGACATAAACACAACTACCAATGTGTTGCAGTCATAATAATTATTAAATTTGCTTTGAGGCAATTAATGCTTTGAATGTAAACCTAGCATTTATTAACATGAGAAAATGCAGAAGATTGATATATCTTCAGCGAGCACAGTCACCCTTTTAAAAGGTGAAACTTCAGGTCATCGGTATCATATTTGGATGAATTTAATGACCTGATACATGAATGCATGTTTTTTCTTGGTCAGTTGCTTGATTCTGTATCATATTCGATGCACAAGATCACAAGCTTCTTTCGTAAAATTATATTTTTTTTAATTTGATGCAGCAAAACATGTGTTCATGGTAGGTGCCACTACATTGTAGGTAGAAATTCAGGCGAATTCATTTGAAATGTTACTGGACTGGACTTTTACTTGAATTTCACTAGGCAAGGCCTATTAATAAGCGACGTTCTTATGTTAATGATTGCGTATTGGGATACTGATTGTGCATACATGTGCAGTATAATGCCACCAGACGACAAGACACAGTCCGAAAACGGGGACTTATGGGTTGACCTCTGTGTGTGCGTGCGTGTGTGCGTGTATGCCTTTGGACCTACATTTGTATATCTTAGACATGCCCATACCAATTACATTTAAACATCACACATACATCATACATAATATTATACATATGCTCATCAATTTGTTTCACGATCTGATTCAAGATGGCTGACTGGTGAACATTTTGTTTCCATCAATGGGTTCTAGTGCCATATCTCTGACATGCTTTGACTGATTATGTTCAAATTTTATATATTCATTATACATTATAGTATAAATATACAGATGTAATTGTTTGACCACTTGATTTAAAATGGCTGATTGGTGGCCATTTTTTGCTGCAAAGTCATCAAAAATCAAGCTTTTCTGGCATTTCTGGAACCGGATCTCCGTGGTATATGGGTGCATTTCATTCAAACTTGGTACATACATTTTGTACTTTAGATATTATTGGTTCTTGATGCAAGTCATTTTATTTTTCAGATTGGATTCAAAATGGCTGACTGGTGGCCATTTTGTTTTAATGAATGCATTTCTAGAGCCATATTTCTGACATGCTTTTGACTGATTATGTTCAAATTTTTAGCTCCGCTGTCCGCTGTTTGTTCATTTTGTGATGATATTTTTAATTCTCTAATTTTCATGTATATTTTTGTAATTTTTGGTAAAAAGTGATATTTTCGACTTCTAATTGAAAACCGCTAGTCCAAATGCTTTGATACTTGGTATGTATGTACCTTAGGTGGACCTCTCTCGGATTTGTTCATTTTGTGATGATATCTTTAATTCTCCATTTTTGATGAGTATTTTTGTCATTTTTGGTACAAAGTGATATTTTCGACTTCTTGTTAAAAACCACAAGTTTGATTGCTTAGATATTACATATCTAGGTACTACATTTGGACCTCTCTCAGATTTGTTCATTTTGTAATGATATCTTTAATTCTCTAATTTTCATGAATATTTTTGTAATTTTTGGTAAAAAGTGATATTTTCGACTTCTGGCTAAAAACCGCAAGTCCGATTGCTTAGATATTACATATGTAAGTACAACATGTGGACCTCTCTCAGATTTGTTCATTTCGTGATGATATCTTTAATTCTCTAATGTTGATGAATATTTTTGTAATTTTTGGTAAAAAGTGATATTTTCGACTTCTTGTTGAAAACTGCAAGTCCAATTGCTTTGATATTACATATCCAGGTACTACATGTGGTCCTCTCTCAGGTTTGTTCATTTTGTGATGATATCTTTAATTCTCTATTTTCATGTATATTTTTGTAATTTTTGGTAAAAAGTGATATTTCCGACTTCTTGTTAAAAACCGCAAGTCTAATTGATTTGATATTATATATACCGCAGGTACTACAGGTGATGATTTTGTTCTTCAATTATCTAATTTTAATGAATATTTTTTGATAAAAAGTTATATTTTAAGTTTTTTTTGAAAACCACAAGTTTGATTTCTTTAATACTATACATATTGTTCATTTTCTGATGATATCTTCAGTTCTTTAATTAAAATGAAAAGTCAGATAGCTGAAAACAGTCAATTGGGAGTGCAGCTACAACTCAGAATCTTTTTTTCAATTTTACACCAAGATGATTTATTATTTAATTTTATTTTTGTAACAAATTCCCTACAGAAACTCAAAAAATGTGTAGGTATTTCACTTTAAAGTATATTTTAATGTCATCTTAATGTTGAGTTTTTAACACCTATTAATATTACACCTTAATATATTCCTCCCAAACTATACCTGGTGTATATTAACAAGGATAAGGTTGTAATTGTTGTGCTATGTTCATAAAGGGTATTTTAATACAGAATACAAGATGCTGGATATACCCATTCTAGTTTGTAATAGCGACACTGCTGCCACCAGTCACTCACTTGTGTGAATAGATAAACATTTCTGATGTTCAGTGTAACTGGCTTTATGACCCCCTAAAAGTTACACATACTGATACTTTCTGAGGAGAAAAATTCACTCTCAAATTATTATTATTCTCAATTATTTAACCCCCTCAAAATTCAAGTAGTTGTCATTACCAGCACATGGTAAAAATTGGATAATATTGGAAATGATAGCTTATACAAATGTACATGTATGTGACAACATGTATGTATACCTGTACGCCTGGGTGTGTGACCTCTAGAGGGTCGTGTCTATGGTTACTTATTTATCAATATTTATGTATATTACTTTAATATGATTTGCAAATATATGACTTGTACATGTATGTGCAATGATTCCATGGAATTAATCTTTTGCATAAATGTTCCATGTTTGTAAAGCATGACCATGTGTTATCCCAGTACATGTCGATGTATGGATGCAGTAGATCGATTTGCTGAAAGTTTATGGTTTGCTAGGCAAGACAGTTATATTTATCAGGTTTAATTACATACTTGTTGCTGTATAGGACAGCATGTCTGTTATATGAAATCCATTTCTGATAGTTGTGTTGTTGTGTCATGAAAGATGTACGAATACATGTAGAAGACATGAAAGTGTTTATTTTTTCAAAATATTAAGCATTTTTAGTAATCCATTAAAACAATTGTAGATCGGCATCTACAGAGAATCACATAGTTTCATCCCACATTTCTTCAATTCATGTTACTTACATTTATGGATGCTTACCGGTAAGTACCGGTAGTGTTTACATATAGGCTGTGCAACAATGTTAAAATTGTTTTGCAAAATATGTATGTTCTTCCTGGAATTGTTGCTTGTCAATATAGGCATATTATGACCTTATATACAGTTGTAAAAGATTGCTGAAGGCATTGTGCAGTGATAATTTATGCAGAATGATGGTGTGTGTCTTGTAATATGTATCTCTCCCAACCATGCATGCATACTGACTTTGAAAACAGGAATAGACATTTAAACCACCTAGCCAAAACATGCATTCTTTATTCGTTTGTAACTGCTCTGAATAATTAAATAACATTAATATAAAATAAATAATAAGATGTAATAATCAAAATATTTGTTTATTTAATAATTTTAATTTAATTTTATAGTAATTGAATTAATACATGTATATATTTTTAGAATGTTAAAATAATGAACCGAGAAGCTCAGCAGTCAATTGAATGTTGGAAATGTTAAAGTTTATTAACTTATAAGTAGAAACTAAATAATATTATAGTAATATTGTAGATTTCATTCTGTGTGCATGTTGATGCTAAATTCATAAATTATATTATCAGGCACAAGCTGTTGTATTGTCTATTTGATATCATTATAGTGCACAACAGAAACATTGCATTCTGATGTTCAAATGTACCGGGTAGCTTGCATGAAAATAAAAAAAGTGCTGGCTGTCTATAGATATTTTGTCGGTATATTTTTAATGCATGTTTCATAAGCAAGTATTTAATAAATGTTAAATGTGGAACATAGATCAGATTGTTAAGGTACACATGTTGGTAAGATAATAATCTTATGAAAAACTGCATATTTCTTTAAAAATCAATTATTCGACAACAAATTATGTTTTATATTGTTTTAGAATGATATACATACGCCACCATAACTACTGGTACAATGTATATGTGTATAAAGTATTTACTGCTATTGCATTATGGAAGATTTAGACACATTACTTCCATATTAGGCATTTACCAGCATTGCATTATGGGATATTTAGACACATTACTTCCATATTATGCATTTACCAGCATTGCATTATGGGAGATTTAGACACATTACTTCCATATTAGGCATTTATCAGCATTGCATTATGGAATATTTAGACACATTACTTCCATATTAGGCATTTACCAGCATTGCATTATGGGAGATATAGACACATTACTTCCATATTAGGCATTTATCAGTATTGCATTATGGGATATTTAGACACATTACTTCCATATTAGGCATTTATCAGCATTGCATTATGGGATATTTAGACACATTACTTCCATATTAGGCATTTACCAGCATTGCATTATGGGATATTTAGACACATTACTTCCATATTATGCATTTACCAGCATTGCATTATGGGAGATTTAGACACATTACTTCCATATTAGGCGTTTATCAGCATTGCATTATGGAATATTTAGACACATTACTTCCATATTAGGCATTTACCAGCATTGCATTATGGGAGATATAGACACATTACTTCCATATTAGGCATTTATCAGTATTGCATTATGGGATATTTAGACACATTACTTCCATAATAGGCATTTATCAGCATTGCATTATGGGATATTTAGACACATTACTTCCATATTAGGCATTTATCAGCATTGCATTATGGGATATTTAGACACATTACTTCCATATTAGGCATTTACCAGCATTGCATTATGGGATATTTAGACACATAACTTGAAGACATGGATTCACATATATGGAGATGTTAGAGATATCAAGAATGCACTTTTAACCAAAGTTTTTAATCTTCTTTCTCAGATCCCGGAGAATAGCTTTACTGGTGTTGATCATTCTAGTGTTTCTTGTATACTTTGGACCTTCTCTCTATGGTGGATCTCATGCTAAAGCTACTACAGGTAAATCAACTAAATATAACTATTTTAATTGATATTAAATGATATGGTAGAATTTTGGTTATTATGGTATTTATTTCATAATCAAAATTTACTAAATGTAATAATATATTTTTAAATTTCAATTGTGTTGGAATAAATATGTGATTTCTGTCATTGCTTTTTGTTGACAGTATTGTCAGTTTCATCAGTCATTTGATAGGTATTACCGATTTAATTGACATGCATGGCTGGCATTATCAATCAACTTGCTCATCATTGTAAAAATCCAGCTTCTGGTGGTTACCACTAAAATACAACTACTGTATTTATCTGTAAGATTATCCACTGCAATATTTCAGCACCTGGATGATTTTTTTAGTGTCACAAAAATAAAATACAGAAAAAAATTACTTTTTTGAAAGAACAAATTATAGGATACAAATCAACATCTGCAGGCTTTAGTGAGAATTTCATGTACACAAAGACATCCAAGTATTATAAACAAGAACAGTTATTATTATGCAATTTCAAAAGAGCAAATAATATGTACAAACATGTACTCATGTATTCAAAATGTACTTAAAATTTTATGAATTATTTTCAGAGTGCTTGCAAGCTCAATTACATCAATGGGAGTCTGCTTTTAATATTTATGATGTATCAATAAAACATGATTTAAACAAGAAGTCTGAAGCTGCAGCACTCCCTTTTGTAGGTACGTAAGTTAGAGTCAATTTTGAACTATTGTGTTACCATCCCTGTCCATCGATGTCAAATTATATTTTACATGTGTATCATGGTACTTAACATATGAGCAGGTCTATAAGACTATAATAGCACTTCCTCTGTTATATTAATTACTTGTGATATTTATAATGTTTTAATTTATTCAACATTTCCATCGTAACAATCAAATATAACAAAGTAAATTGAAATTTAATGGTACTGGTAAACAAAAATATAAAATCTTAATTATGATCAATCCTTTCTATTCTGTTTACCTTTACTGATTTACTGATTTTTCTATATCTATTACTCTCCTGTATACATTCTATAATTGTTTAATCACAGGTAACGGTAATCTGGGTGTTGTTGTTGGTAGTACGGTGAGTAGCGATGTATTACATATCCGATATCAACACAATGTACTGTCTTTAGCTGTCCCATATGTACCCATTGCACAACCACAAGTACTTGGACTTTCAACTAAAGGTAAGTCAATGTCATTTTCAAAAAAAAATTAAATATCTTTTTGAAAACTACCAGCCTGATTACTTTGATAATATATCAGTAGGTAGGTATCTAATTTTTGTTCCTAAGTTTCCTAGATTTAAATACTTCCAGCATAATTGTATGGTAGTTTAAATAAATTCAGATTTATATGTCAATTAAATAGCAGTATAATGGTAGATGAATGACTTACTGATTTAACATGAATGAACATGAATGCAAACAAAGCTGAGGCTAAATTACAATAATTGTGAAATTTCTGCTTGACCTAGCTGTCACATGTAACATACTGAATTCAACTCCATATGTTACAACCAAAATCTGCCAGCTGTGGGATGGATGTCAGTTGAAATTTCATTTTTTTTTTTCACATTGTATTTTTATAATGTGAATTACCGGTAAACATACAAAAAATATGTCTTGTCATAATTTGTACCTCAGTAATAGCTTTGAATATTGAGTAGTAATATAAATACAGGTTGCTTGAGTCAGAAAGCTTTTTGCCATTTCTACTTTTCAAGTTTGTGTATTTTCAGGTGTGTTACTCACTAGACCATTTCATGGTACCTTAGACCCAGAGGTCTAAGTCAAATCTCACCAATTAAATAAGGGCAGTCAAATACAATTTATAATTTAGAAAAACATGGGCCCTGTGCATGATCCCTAATAGTCACACATTTTCCCAAACTCTATTTGCTCTATTAGTAGTGCATGTGTTTACGCATATGATGGAGATGTGTCTATAATCAAACTCAAAAAACATTTAGAATACAAAATTACGGTGGAATTTTTGAACCAAAAATCAGTGGTTAGAAAAACCTTGGATGACATACATAGTTCATCATTTGTTGTCAGAATACAAAATTTCTGTTGAAACACAATCATAAAAACAGATTACAATAATGACTGATTTAGATTATTGTGTGAATAAGTATGATGCATTTCTTTTGTTATAAAAATTGTGATCTTTTACGATCATCAGTATTCGGAATTCATTGGTAGTGCCAAGTGATGTTCTGATTGGTTAATTCGGAATTCATTGGTAGTGCCAAGTGATGTTCTGATTGGTTAATTCGGAATTCATTGGTAGTGCCAAGTGATGTTCTGATTGGTTAATTCAGAATTCATTGGTAGTGCCAAGTGATGTTCTGATTGGTTAATTCGGAATTCATTGGTAGTGCCAAGTGATGTTCTGATTGGTTAATTCGGAATTCATTGGTAGTGCCAAGTGATGTTCTGATTGGTTAATGGCATGTATCAGTATTCGGAATTCATTGGTAGTGCCAAGTGTTGTTCTGATTGGTTAATGGCATGTATCAGTATTCAGAATTCATTGGTAGTGCCAAGTGATGTTCTGATTGGTTAATTCGGAATTCATTGGTAGTGCCAAGTGATGTTCTGATTGGTTAATTCGGAATTCATTGGTAGTGCCAAGTGATGTTCTGATTGGTTAATGGCATGTATCAGTATTCA